ATTGTTAATACCTCCTGCCAGAACATCATGTGAACCAGTTACACCATTTACTAATATAATGCTGTTGCTAATATAGTTGTTTGCATTTAATTTCGGTGCTTGAGACAATGCAACACCATAAATCACGTGGTCAGATGGAGCCAGCTCGGTTTTGACTTCACCGTGCTTGGAATGTGTTGCATATGTTGTAAGGTGCTCCTTCTTAACAATAGGTTTTCACTCCTCTGAACTAACGTTTTATGTTTTGTAAAGAAGTTAAAATAATTATAAAGTAGTTCTATGTCGTTCTGTAATAATTTCTTAAATAGATTTTAAAAAGGAAGCATGCAAAGTAATGAAGCAAGAGGAAAAGATGTATTTCCACTAAAATCCTAACTACTTAGAGTAACTTTACTTCTCAAGGAGCCTAGCAACATTTGGCAGGTGTATGGAACTTCACCCTACCTTTTCGGTATGGATCCCTAAGAACCGCTGATATTTAGGCAATAAAAATCAGGTAAGATGGTGCTGGAGGGGAAGTGAGAGGTTCTGTGGTTCCTGTTGCCTGCACATTAGTTGTTTTTCATTAGTGTTTCTGTATTGAAGGAGCAGGATGGGGAATAAATGAATCTGCTTCCTTTGCTTACCTCCGTTACCTTTGGACATCTCAATTTTAATACATGGATGGTTTTGTCCTTCCGTAGAGGCAAATGTTCTTACAGACCCAGTGAAAACTGGTTGCTTTCATGGAGGGGTTAAAAATAAAAAAGGTTAAAGAGCACGTGATCACGAGTCAGAGAGTTGGGATCCCGCATCAGGATGCACACAAGTGACATAGTTTTAGGGTTTTTTCCAACGTTTGGATTTGTGGATTCCAAATGCCAAGTGGGGAATGAGCGGTCTCTCTCCCCAGTCTTTGGTAGCCTGTTTTGGAGTTGTTAACACTGTCACTTGAAGCATCTTTTCTGTTTTTCTCCAGTTTCCCTGTTATATTGTGGAGGCTATACTTGTCATATATGGCCTAGGTTTTTTTCCTTCTTCTTTAGTTTTAGGTGAATATTCTTCCTTAACCAGTCATCTTGTGAAAATGAGAAATTTCATTTATACCATTACGATCTATTTATGACCCACGACGTCTCCTTCCAGGTCTTTTCTCTCTTTGATTTCTGCTCACCTCTCTTATCTTCAAGTAAATTGGAAGTAATTTTATGGAAATCTAAAAACTTGTTGTGGTTTAAAGGAAGCTTTGAGCTCATGTTATAAGGTGAGGAATCAGGAGAGATCGTGTCCATCATGAAAGCAGTTATCTGGCCAGTGAGTTCAGGCTGTATGGGGGGAAAAAAAGAGGCTTTTATGACACGTTTCGGTGCCACGACACTTGCATGCTTTTACTTGAACAGTCAAAATTGGAGGACTGAAAGTCCTGTTTTTCATCTAGTTCAGTCCAGGTGTTCATCCGGTGAGGTCAGGCTTTGTAATGGTCCCATGAGAACTTAAAGAGTCATTGTCTTAGTCATGGTAGAGGAAAAAATTATGGAATTTTTTTTGGTGCACAACTTTGTATATCTGTTAGTTGTTTTAAGTGTGGGACTTGCATTTTTCCCTTGAACTGTTGTAAAATCTTGAAAAAGTGGCTAAAAGTAACATTGAGGTCCACTGATCTATTGGTGTTTCTGAAGGAACAATCACCGGTGCCGTTATTCACGGATTGTGCTTGGTCTGTCCTTCCACGGTAGCAGTTGCACCACCTCTGCAGTCAGTGGTTGAGCCCTCTGCTTGCTCTATTCTTGGATGGATTTTCATGTCTAGCTTGTCTTTACAGCACAGGAGCTTGAACTTCTTGTGCGTTTCATTCTGTGAGTAGGGAGTATTTTTCTCCAATCCTGTACCTAGCCAATTGCCATGTCCTTGAGGATGGTGATTGTGCTCTCTGAAATCTTAGGAGTCCTGTTCCTCTGTCATTCTCTGTAGGTGCTGCTCTTTTTGATTCTTGATTTCTTTTCTTTGATGTGTTTCCTTGATGAACCACTTGGCCTTAATTGAGCTAAATAAATGGTAACTTTCCAGGTTAAATGGAAAGGATTCTACAACAGGGTTCACTAACTGCATGAACCAAGGGCAGGACACAGTAATAGGGAATAAATGACTTCTTTCAGCAGGCTTGTGCTAACTTAAAATAATTGTGGTGGTACATTTTTAGCAGCTTTAGGAGGTTTTCAGCATAATGCTAAAAGAAAACTGGCCCTGACACTAAGTTAATTCTGACGGGATCCCTGCTCACGTGTCAGGTGGTCTACAGAACTTTCAGCATTTCCAGAACCTCCAGCATTTGAAATAGTAACAGTGACCTGCCTCTTGCAGACCAGCTCAGAAACACCTCATGATCTGTAAAAAAACCTCATAAAGCCCACATGCTTGTTTAGTATTACTTGGAGCTGTGCTCGTTTCCATCAGCTCGTGATACCACCTGTTTTGCATAGTGAAGTGTTTGTAGCTCAAAGATTGGAAATCCAAAGTCTTTGTAGAATAGAATGATATTTGTAATTTGAAATGACAGTTTTTCGAATTTGTAAGCCATTGGATTTCTAAGAGGTGGGCGAGTGAATGGAGCTGCCTGTGTTGTTTTAAACTGGCCTTGGAATAATTAGGTTGCTGATGCAGTAATGTGGGGCAAATGGCAGTTCTCATCTTCCCTGCTGGTACCACAATTTGCAAAGTATCAGGAGGCTCTAGGAATCAGGATGAACTTTATCAGCCACGGAAGCTGGCAGAAGGGTTAAGCATTTTAGTGTACGTGCTAATTGAATTTTCTGCTAGATCCAAGGCGCTTGCTGTGTAGGAAGTTTTTATGGTGTTTTTGAAAGGTGGGGACACTGGTAAGAAGGTGGGGCTCCCGTGATGCATGTAATGACATTTTGTGGTGTGGAAGTATTTAGAAACGATGGTGACGTTTTCTGACTCTTATCTGTACTGTTTGCTGAAGGTTAACAACTTGGTCAAACTGGATATGGTGCCTTCTTGTTCCACCATTTTTAGTTTTCATATTTCTGTTCTTTCCCATGTAACTGACTGTGTATTATTTGCACGGTTTTTCCTTTTCCTTTTTCTTAAGGCTGCCTGATGACCTGTGCAGAAGGCACACAGGCTAGCAGCACTTGCTGTCATGATTAGCTCGGCCTCTTCCTGCACTCGGGGCCTTTTGAGAAATTGTTGGGATGAGAAAAAGAAAAATTACTGCATCTGGTACACCCGGAGTCTGGGTCAGATCTTGTCAAGACCATTTTTAGGCTGCATTTACCTTGTTTTTTTTGTATTTTTAAACCAAAATTTTTAACGCCAGAATTTTTTTTGGTGTTTTTAAGTGAGTATTAAGTTAGTGTCACTGCAAAGTCGGAACTGGTGGTCTGATTTTGGTTGCCTCATACACTGGTGCCAGTCAAGAAGGAGCTGCATTGACTTAAGTGAAGTTCAGCACGTGGAAGCAGCATGAAAGGAGCATCTCATCCAGGCTCTTGTGCCACTGGAGCCTGAGTGTGGCTTGCAGTGGCAGTTCCATCTAGTCCACTTGTGGGTGACTACGTATAGTCAGAGTAAAGATTGATCTAGCTCATATACTGGTTTTGAGACTGTCTAATATTGGGAATGTCAGGAAAGGGATGAAGAAACACGGCAGTTACGGAGTGGTCTTTTTCCTTCGTGTATCTTCCCAGCTACTGATGGATGGTCAGACTCTGAGCTAGAAATTTTCCTCGTGGGAGGAAGGAGATGCTCGGTGCCTGCAGGTGAGGTGCTCGCTGTGTGCAGGTGAGGGGCAAACAGCTGGTCTCTGAGTTTAAGTGTATGGGAAAATGGAAGTAAGTCTCACTCTGAGAAGGAATTTGCTAAAGCAGGGTGGTGTTGGGTGTAGCCATCCTTGGCCTTCCTTCTGTCGCTTGTAACTCTGCTTTAGAAAGGATTTTGACAGCTAAGTTCTTTGGTCATTAAGCCAAAATTATTTTGGCTTTGGAGAGTATTTGAACAACAGTCCTGGGATGATCAGACTTGCAAAACAGAGCGAGGGAGAGAAAGTTCACCTGCCCTCGCAGATTTGTGCTGCGTGGTTTCAGAGGGAGCGGCTGGCTTGCTCGTCAAAGTTGAGTTTGGTTCGAAGTCGATGACCTGGTTATTGTGCTTTTATACCTAAATGCAGCATGGGAAGTCCAACAGCCTGGTCCACAAGTATTGGAGGAATCACTTTGTCATGGAAAGGTGCTGCAAGTGTGACAAACTGTACACCTAAGAAGTTCTTGGAAAATGAAATTATAGCCCAACACAAATACATGCAAATATTTTCATGCAAGGGGTATAATACAAATTTTCACAGAGGCTCTTTAGGATGTGGTTAACTTATGAAGTCTTCCCACCAAGTTCACTAGCAATTAGTTCTCCTTCACAGGTGAAAGACAAAGCTCTGACTGATAAGGATGAATCTAAGGAAATGTTTCAGAATTCCATAACCTGTTATCTTTCTCTTAACTTGACTTGACTCAAACATGATGATCCATCAGGTTCCATCAGTCGTGGATCACCTTCCATTCTATAGCTATCATGTGAACTCTCTTCCAAAGCACTGGATGGAAATCGTGGTACGTGGTGTTAAGACGATGAGAGTCAAAAGGATACCAGTTGAATAACTGTAGTGGCTTTAAATTATTTTTTCATTTACCTGTTTTTTTGTTTTCTTGTTCACATTGATTGATTGTCTGTATTTCTTGTTCAACTGGCTGATTTTGCTGTGAGATTCTTTTTCAGAGCTAGTCTTGTCTTCCCTCAGACTCCCCCTTCCTCTTTTTCTTAACAGCTTAGAAGGAGAAAAAACTCCTGCCTGATTGAAGAGATGACTTCTAAGAGATTGTGGAAAGCATCATTAAGAGGGTCTGGTTTGCTTTTTTCCTTACCTTCCATATACAGGTTTCCGATCAGAAGTTGTGAGTAAATGGGACAGCAGCATCCCAAAATATTCCTGTGCTGAGACTCTGACAATGGACAGAGTACACGGAGACTGTGGGAGTCCTGTGCCACTGGGAGATGCAGACAGGAGCAGGACTAGAGAACAAGACCCAGGACTAACTGTGTTGGGAAAAGCACATGAGTTCTTTCGGATTTGTGATCTGGAAGGCAAAGGCTTCATCACTCGTCAAGACATGCAGGTAAAACACAATTGGCTGTGTGAAACGCACGAGGAGAGAAGCTCCTTAATGTCCTTAATGAGTTGAGATTGATGAATTCAGAGTTAAAAATTGTAACACCCTCCTGATAAGTTTAGAGAGGTATGTAGAGTTTTAAATAAGCACTATGTAAGACTTGAAAGAACTTGCATTTGTTTCCACAGACAAAGCAACAAAAAAATGCAAAATCCAAGTAAGTGAAGTTAAAAAAAAAAACGCCCCAGGAATTTAATTCCATTCTTGTTGAAAATCCAGTGAATTCGTTACTTCGTGATTTGCCACAGCATGGTCAATGTATACAGTCCACCAATTTTATCCTTCTGTATTTTTCAGCAAAATTGTGTAAATCAAGTCTTTCACTTTGGTTTCACCTGCTACACAATGGTGAACTCTCAGCTGGATCAGAGATTCATGTAGGAAGTCCAGAGGAATGGTATTTTAGCCTTAATCAGTGTTCACAATAATCGTACCAAATTGTTCTTAAATTGTTTGAGGGACCAAAATCAGATTTGCTGAAAAGGTTGCTGGGACAAAACCAACTATACAACTAAATCTTTTGAAAAGATGGGCGTTGGGTGCATATTGCAGAAATGGTAGGATGGCTTGAAGCAGTGGCAGAAAACAAGTATGTGCTCATGCTTGACACACAAAGCTTAATTTCGTGGTGTTAATCCATTTCTACTTCACTGCTTATGGATGGAAAAGAATTGGGGAGTGGTAGCAAAATAAATTCAGCGCAAACTGCTACAAAAGGAAGCATCTAATAGAAAATTTAGAAACCTTCCATCTCCTCAGAAACCAAGATACATCTGCATATAGGAAAATGCAAGCGAAACACTTGTAACGACGTATGTTGGAAAAGTAAAAACCTGATAGTAAGTTGCTCAGATGACTACTCTCAAGAGCTTTCTGTGCAGTTGTTGCTGCTGAGTTTTGTGGCAACCTGTGCTAATTCTGCAGAGTTGAAAGAAGATAGGAGTGCAGCTGCTTGCTGCGCTGCAGGCTTTGCCAATATACATTTTCTCTTTGAAGTAACTTGGGTGCAAACAAATATGTTGTTAGTGGTAGGTTTTGGTCAATCCAGACCCTTAGAGAATGTAATGGATTAAAATTTTATGTTTCCCAAAGCTACATGGCATACGTTTTCACCTAGTGGAAGACCATATATATATTTGTGTGCATTAAAAAAAGTTCTAATATCTACTTCTTTCAGTAATCTACAACATTTTCTAAGGGATTTGGTACACATTATTTTATTAATATACAAAACAATGATGGCTTTTACTGGACAACTGTATATTAGACATATACAGTTATGCATTACACTTGATTAGGGGACTGATGAACTAGAATCCCTGTATGGCAAATGCAAGTTTGAAATCAGCCCAGTTGATTTCGATTGAACTTTTCGTGATGTTCACTCCCTATAGCAAGGACATACATCAGTAAAGCAAATCAGCTTTTTTCCCTGAAAGGTACCAGTTGTTAATCACTTTTGCATCCTGCTGTTTGTTGACTCAGTGCTACTCACGGTTAACAAAAAACTGCTTCAAATACAAGATGCCAACACTGAGCTTTTTAATTTTTAGTAATGTGGTGTGAGGCATGAGTTTCAACACAGAGTGCTGAGTATCTAAAAAGTGCAGAGTATCTAAAATCCAATTAACTTCAGCGGAACAGATGTTGCAAACCAAGTTCTCTGATGCATTTATAGTATAGTAAATATATTAAATATTTATTCCTGCCTGATTATATCATGCTGTTTATTTTGACGATACATGAGTACTGGTTGTTTGGGATTTTTCGTTCTGTTTCAAAATATCAAATGTGCCCAACTTTCAAACAAACAAGAGGTTTTGAAAGCAAACTCTGCCGGAGTCTTGAAACCACAGCTTTGCACTTTGGGCCTTGAGATTATCATGAATAATGAGAATCAGTGTTGCAGAATGTTTTGTTTTAGTGTGTGTAGCAGTTTTGGGTTCAGATCTTGCTCTTAGCTATTTGACCTCTGTTGTTTTATTTAGCAGGGTAGAAGCTTTGGGAAGATGAGTGTGTTAAAGTGAGAAACTGCTGATCAGGTGTATCACTGATGAAGTAACGTGGTTGGACTGAACGTACATCAAATTTTCTTAGTTTTTTGGAAGCAGGCAGCAGTGCACAATTAATCCTGCTCAGAAATCCCTTTGGGACTATTCCAGATAGTCCTGTGCTTTAGAAGCCTTGTTGCTTCGCCTTCTCAAGATCACCTTGGAATTCCTGTTACTACTTTTCCCTTCAGCTCCTGCAGGTTTACAATATATACTCCAAGCCCTTCTCCGCAGCCAGAGTTAAGGCACTCTGGCGATTCCTACCTTGGCTACATGGCCTGGGATATCAGATCGTGGTTTCTGCTGTTCTTGGATTGCAGGAGAGTCTTTATTTGGCCATAAATCCCTTCCTCACAGTGCAATGAATTAGTATTTTTGTTCTGATGAACTTCATCAACCTATTAGCTTGCAAGTTTCATATGTTGTGTATGCAATAGGAGTTGAGGGAAGGAATTAAAATATTAACTAATAAAGCAGAGGACTTCACCAGTCTGTATTTATATTGCTTCCTAAGCTGAGAAAAAATTTTACTCTTCCTAGTGCTGTCTCCCACTGGAAGTCGTTGCTGTTGTAGTTGTTTGCCACTCCAGTTTCCTCCTATTTCTGGGAATCTGTCTATACTGGTAAAAGAATTACAGTAAAACCATTAGGGCCAGATTTAAATCAAGTTTTTTTTTTTTTTTTTCTTCTATGCCTGTCTTTAGAATCTCGAGAAAAAAAAAAGTGGTTTTGTGGAGCTGGTGTCATGAAGTTTTGTCTTTTTTGGTGTCATCGTGCTACACTTCAGAAGTAGACAATCATGAACTACATTTAACTCATTACAGGAGCAGTAGGTTTGCTCCTTGAACTGTGCAGCTTTCTTGACTTTGTTTTATTTATTTATTTCCCCATTTTAAAGCAGCTTTAATTAGGACAGTACACCCTCTGTCATTTTTTTGTTCAGAGAGTCTCTAGCTTGACCTCAAGACATGGAAGGAACTAGGTGTACAGTTATGCTGTCTAGCTTGTCCAGCTGCACGATGATCAAGGCATTTCACCAGAGTGCTAAGACTCCACATGAAATTCTCCCTTTCCCCTGTGTGGCTGGAATCTGTGTCACCAGGAGATTTTTCCCACTGCTTTGTCCTAAAGGATTCATAAAGGCAAATAATGAAGTAATAAAAGCATATCTCCCTCAGTTCATGTTGTTTTACTCTGTGCTGTATTTGAATTTTCATTCTTCTTGTATTATGGATGTTCTGTGGTATCTAGTAGTCTTCTCATCCTGTAGAACTGGATAAAGGTGCTGCATGTTTTGTCATTCCAGAGACTGCATCCTGAGTTACCTCTTAGCCTGGAAGAGCTTGAAAAAGTTTTTGTTACATTGGATGCTGATGGCAACGGCTCACTTACCCTAAAGGAGTTCACCACAGGATTCAGTGAGTTTGGAGGAAAGCATGTCTCCTGTATAGAGCTTTGTTCATATTCTCTACTTTCCACATCAATAAAGAGGCATTTTTATCTTCACAGTACACTTAGGGAGCCAGACTATTCCCTAGATATAGCAGATATATGTAACAGGTGAAGAAATGGTCAAATTATGTCTATAAAGATGCAAAGGGCTCCAGGGTTTTCCTCTCTTGTGTAAGATGGCAAGTCACATCACAACATGAGACATAAGATGTAACCATCTGAATTACACCTGTTTTCAGCCATGGGGTAGATCTACGAACAAATTTTGGAAAACTTCCTTTGAGGGGAGAAATCTTGTGTTTTTATTTCATATCAGGTCATAAGACCTGAGAAATACTAAAGATTATCTCTAAGATTAATGGAAGACAAAATTGAAAATGTGTTAAGACGGCTGTCCTTACAGCTGTGGGAGTGCTTGCTACAACAAGTTAGTTCTTCAAGTGATGCTGCTTTATTCCGAAACAAAGCAGGATGAGGCAATTATTATTGCATAATTGGAGCTGATAAGTTCTTCAGCTGATAACTGCCTGCTTTGCAGCAGCACTCTTACTGTCGTGGGTTTGTGGAAGGGTTGTTTTCTCCCCAGCTGTGCGGTGCCAGATAAGACGACGACGTGGTCAGTGAGACTGTGTTTGGTTGCTGGTACAGAATCAATTTTGTACTTAAGTTTTAGCTCTGCTGACTATAAGCATCAGGTTTAAGCTAGAAAACTGAAGGTTAGGCATGAAACTGGGAACAAATCAGGCACAGAACTCAGGGATCCTCTTGCCATCCCTCCTCCTTTTGTTTTTCTCACTATACTCCCTTTTCTCGTAAACAAGTGTAGGTGTTTCCCTCACAAACTATATTTACTGTAAAATTTGATCTTTGGTATGTTGCTCTTCAGTGACATTGCTTCTTGCTGTGAGTTCTGAAAACGCTGACGTGTGTAATTTCTAATTCTTAGGCCAGTTTCTTTTGGGGCAGATCGCTTTGGATGATGAGCCGACGCAGCAGGCAGAAGGTGCAGCAGCCAGCCCGCTTCAGCGCGTCGAGACCGAGGGTGGTGACGAGGACGAAGAATTCCAGTTCTCACATCTGATGGATCGCCTTGGAGCTAAAAACGTTTTGGATGAGTGAGTCTTTGCAGCAGTAGTAATCAATTGTATGATCTTGTATGATTCAGCTCTGGGTTTGATTTTAATGGAATCCGAGATGAATGAGGAGATGCAAGGCTGCTCAGAATCACTGTGATTCTTTAAAAATTTATTTTCTCTGTCAGGGACGATGGAATGCTCTTCAACCAAAATTTCCAAGAGCAAAGCTGTTGTACCATAGGCAGGTGAAACGTTTCATGCAAGGCTGCTCAGAATCACTGTGATTCTTGAAAAATGTATTTTCTCTGTCAGGGATGATGGAATGCTCTTCAACCAACATTTCCAAGAGCAAAGCTATTGTACCATAGGCAGGTGAAACGTTTGTGCCATATGAAAGCTGTACCATGAACCCCCTGACGTGCCCTGGCTTTTGAACACAGATCATTACTAGCATGTAATCCCCAGATGCCAGTGATTTTCCACCCAGCGATGCATGAGCGTTTGGCATGGGCTGTGTTTGAAGTGTACAGAGCACAAAAGCTGCTCTAAGAGCTTCTGCTGTGTTGGTCTAGAACCATGAATGCTCTAGATGAAAAAAAGCGGAGGGCAAAAATGAGAGAGGATCTGGAGAGGTAGCTTTTTGGAATGTTTCCTTACCATGAAATAAAAGCACTTGTCAGTGCTTCTCTTCACCTGACTGCCTCTTGCAGATAAGAGGTGATTGTCTGTCATCCTGAAAGATGTTCATTATGAAGAGATCTTTATCACCAACTTTTCTATCCTCATCCTCGTTTTGTCCTTTAAATATAGCACACTCTGCTGGCTAGGTTCAGGCTTACAATGAGCACGGAAGAGAATGAGTTAGGAAGAAACCAAGTTGTTCAGGAGAATTGTGGCAAATTATTAAAAAAAAGTTGTCATTCACAGTAGAACATCCTTATTCCAGTATCTACTGAACAAATTTGGAAACAAAACCTTATCCTGATAAATCTTTAAATCAAAATTTTTGAGATGATGTGTTCTGATTTTTGGAGCAGTCCCACTGTGGAATTAAAGTGAGTTGAAAATGCAAGAAGTACAAATGCAATTTTTTAACTTGTCTAACAAAGTTAGGAGACTGAGTCTCATTCATTTCTCACGAGGACGTGTTTTTGATTATCTTTCCCACTGCCCCCTCCCCACGAGATTTGTGGGAACTGCTTTACCTCTAATAGAAATTATGGGATGGTGCAGCGTATGTCATCTGTCTCCTTTCTTATCCGTTCCTGTTTAGCCAAGTGTCTGGCAGGGCACCCATTAAACAGTTTATATGAATCTCTGCAGTCACGCGTGGCCAAACTTTATAATGCATTCTTTGGAATAAATGCAATTTCCATCATTTCCCACCTGCCTCAGCCTTTTCAGATCTGGCCCTGATGAAGTAGCCCTTGTTTTTCATAAACCTGGTGTTCTGACTAGTGGTACCCTGAAGCCTGCAGCCACTGGGATGCTGTGGACCTTTGTTGCAGCCCGAGAAGTGTTCTCTCTTAATGAATCCCTTATGATCTCTTTCAGTGAGAGCGATGTGAAGCAGCTTTGGTTGCAGCTGAGAAAAGATGAACCTCATTTACTTGCCAATTTTGAGGAGTTCCTGGTCAGAATTTTTTCCCAGCTCCAAGAAGCTGATAATGAAAAGACTGAGTTGGAATGCGCTCTGAAAAAGTTAGTAGTTCTCTTTGTTGAACTGTGTGTGTAGTTTTACAACCATCTTAACCATTGTTTGAACCTCTGAAATATTAGAGCAAAAATCCCTGTTTGTTCCACAGCACTACTGGAAAGAGAAGGATCATGTTACCGGTATTGCTGAAATTACAGAATTATGCCTTGAGTAGAACTGGATGTATGATCCTTATAGCAGCCTTCCAGTACTTAAAGGGGGCCTACAGGAAAGCTGGAGAGGGGCTTTTTACAAGGGCATGTAGTGACAGGACAAGGGGTAATGGATTTAAACTGAAAGAGGGGAGATTTTGATTAGATCTAAGGAAGAAATTCTTCCCTCTGAGGGTGGTGAGGCACTGGCACAGGTTGCCCAGAGAAGCTGTGGCTGCCCCATCCCTGGAAGTGTTCAAGGCCAGGTTGGATGGGGCTTTGAGCAACCTGGTGTAGTGGAGGGTGTCCCTGCCCATGGCAGGGGGGTTGGAACTGGATGATCTTTGAGGTCCCTTCCAACTCTAACCATTCTATGATTCTATCCCAGACAACAGAGATTTTAATCCAATATTTAGCATTTTTCACATAACAATGATATGCCCTTATTGCTTTAATTATTTTCCCCTGCCTGCATGCAGGGCATATTTGCAAGCTAATGTATTAGATTATTTTTTCTGCTGCCTGTTAGTCGTGTTACTTAAAATTGTGTTACACTTTTAATTATAACAGGATATTATTTTATTTTTCTGTTTAATTTGATCAGAGTTAGGAATGGTAAGCCATTGATTAAATGCTTGGAGAGTATTCAGCCTGCAGGAATGGCGTGTGCCTATGTGCCAGACCAACTGAAAAGATTCCTACATCCAGAGGTACCTCCTGGATGGTGCTGCCATGTCTTTTGCTTCCAAACACATGAGAGGAAAGAAATATCTAAATCAGCAGCTTAATAATATGGGCCTAAAGTTATTCTCCCCGTCACACAGAAGCAAAGAACGTCTTTGATTCCCATGGAAACGCTGACTGCTGTGCAAAGTTAGAGGGTTTTTCAGTATGCAGTCAATTTAGCCTTGATCAAAGTGACATTATACTACATGAAAACAGAATTGTTAAGTGTGATCGTAGCATCTCTGCCATACCTTTCTAAATAACTGTGAATTCTTTATGAATTTGTGTCATTTTATTCCATTGATGAGTGCTGATTTCTTATCAAGCATTTTCTTAGTTTTAAGAGAATAACATTTGAGATGAAAACATGACCTGACTTGACACTGAAAGGGGAGTAAGGCAGCACAAAGGGCTGCTGGATTTTCAGACACTCTCTATTTGAAGCACTGAAGTCACATGGAGAGGTCCTTGTCTGCGCTGCTTTTCTTCCCTAATCAGAGTTTACAAAAATCTAAGTGACAGCAATTGTTTTCCTCAAACTGATGTAGCTCAAAATTTGTTTATTGCTGCTGTAAATCCTTAGAAAGTGCCTTCTGCTCTTCATTTTTAACCTGTGACTGAAAATGCAAGCTGGCAACGTCAAGTGTTCTGATGTTTGAAAGGGGAAAAGAAAAAGACTTATTTCTGGTGTTTCTCGTTCCTCTTAGCTTAGGTCAATCTGTTCAAGTTTCTTTGCCATTTGCTTGGCTTTAACTGAGAAGAGAATCAGGCCTTTAATAAGTGAAAACATAGAATATGTAGAGGATTAGGTACAAAAAATAATAGATACCCAGATTACAAAAATAATGGCTTTTTTGCTACTGTATATTCCTTGTCTTGCTTCTATTGATGTGAATGCTCTAGGAGGTGATGTACTTCATTGCTCAAGGAAGAGCTCTAGCAAGAGGAATGTGAGGGAATATACAGTAGTGTAATATAAAGGCCCTATTAATCCCTGTTAAAAATCTTCCTAGGATGACCTCTGAGTTTGATGCAAAGTGATTTTTGGCTTTTCAGTTTGTGGATTAATGAAAATTAGAGTAGAATAGAAGCAGACCAAAGCAGCCGTCTTGTTCTCTTTCAACAGTTAATTTTTTTCTGCCTAAACTAAAGCATCTGCTCAATGTAATCCTTCATGTATCAAACTGCAGTGGTATTAATTAGTGTCCTATGGGAAAAAGTGAGCTTTTAAGTCTGTCTTTTTTCCTACAGTCAGCTACGCTTGTTCACAGCATGTTTATTTCTGTTGCTGAGCTGTGCTTTTCAGTTTGTTTCAGCAAAACTGTTAGAGAGGCAATAAGGTAGCTTTCACAAAGTCTGTTCTAGCTAAAACATCTTAGATATGACACAAGTACCTCGTTCAGCTCTCTTGAATGGTGAAAAATGAAGTTCCAGAGTGGAAAAAAAAAAGTTGCAGTGAAAATCCTTAGAACTGTCAAACTTAGGCTCTGGTGTTGTCACTAGGAAGCTGTGTTCATCAAACCCAAGATTTAGTAGTCATTAAAACTGCATAATGAACAGCTGCTTTATATGGAAACATCAGATGTGCAGCTTTATTAGCCTTTGAGCTGTTGAAACTTTCCTTCCATGGGGGGGAAAAAAAAATCCGTGACCTCTCCTGCACAAAAATTCCTATTTTCTTAACCCTAGAACATTCTCAGAAATGTGGGGCTTAGCCTGTAATGTGAGCCATGACTCGAAGTGATGCTACAAAGACCCACTCCGTATACTTTTTCTCTCTTACTAGGAAAATTGCTGCTTATGATGAAGAAATTCAACATCTGTATGAGGAAATGGAACAGCAAATCAAAAAGGAGAAAGAGCAGTTTCTGTTGAAAGTGAGTGTCTCTGTTCTTGTGGGCATGGGTTTCTTCCCCCTTCCAGTGGATTTGTACTCATTCTGGATGTGAAATGAAAGCCCACAAAATGTGTTTCACAACAGAATAAGAAAAAACACCATTTGCCTCACTGCTGCTTTTGTACTGATCCAACTTATGCAGCTTCACACTACATGACTTGTTGGATGAGAGGAGCGTTGATGTCCTGTGCTCAGTGGTGGGCATTCTTCTGAAAGCCCACTGAGCTACAGCCTCATTGTGTTATTGGTGCTGCTGTAGGTCCAACTTCTGGTCACGATTAGGAAAAATGCTCTTTGAGGTTGTTTGGAGCAGCACTAATCCCGTTGAGTTCTCCAGTCTCTGCTTTTGAGGAGGGAATAAGTTCTCACTGAAGAGCACCAGCAGATGAATCAAGTGATGGTTATTTCCAAAACCACCACAGATAATTGTGAAATAAACACAGGTTGGATTCTTCTGTCACTGCCATAGTGCTTCCAGAACACCCACCAATGAGTTCCCTTTTCTTACGAAGTGGCGTTTAAATTTGCTTCACTGCTTTTATAACCTGTTCTTTGGATTTTTCTGTCCAAGTTTTTCTCCTAAAACAAGGAAACCAACAAGAACTCCCAGTATGCTCCAGGAAAGAGTCATCTTAGAATCATTTAGGTGAGAAGGCACCTGTGCTGCCCTTAACTTTCAGACTACATCAGGTCCTCAGGAACCTGTGCAATTGACTTTTGAGTATGTGAATGATGGAGGTTGCACAGCTTCTCTGAGTGGCCTGGGGCAACCAGTCATGAGCTACTGGCCTTTCTGGTGCCTTGAGAGCAGTCATGTAAATGAAACTAATACATGATTTCAAACAACATGTGGTACAGGAAATGTTGCCAAAACTAGTGGATATCCATCAATTATTGGCTCCATTCTCAATCAAATATGGTATCTTAAAAATCCTTTTGTGGTCCAAATATATAAAGTATTTTTTGTTTCCTGACATGAAGTGCCTTTGTTTCCTGACAAAAAGAGCCTTAATCAACTAAGTCTTTTCACTTGCCTCACTGCATGGTGAACCTGACTCATAAATTTCAAGTTTTTTTCCAGTTTTTAGTGGTGGATGAGGTGAACCCATTATATAAAGTTTTTATATCAGGTGAAGGATAAAAAAGTATTTGCAGCTTTGCCTGACAGCAGTTGTTGTGGCAGAAGTGGTTTATATGCTCTTAATACCCCACAACTGATGGAAAATCTTAAAACAAGAAAGACTTTTCCATAGGCAGTGATTGTTGGATCTCCTAATTAGTTGTATATTTGAGGAAAAGCCATTTCTTTCCAGCTTTTTCATTAAAGCTTCCTGCTGGAGCTCTTTACAGTTTAGTCAGCACTCACACTAATGGTTGTCACGCACTCCAGAAGCATTGTTTCTTGGCATGACTAATTTGGGATTGGGGAAAATCTGACTGTTAAATTCTTTCTCTAATGCAAAGTCTCACACAGATTTTTACAGCCTGGAGAGATTCATTTGTGCCATATAAAAGGGGAGTTATTATGACTTGAATGAAGAGCAGCTCTTGAAGAATACATTTAAAGAAATTGTTAAGATGCAAATAAGTACAAATTGTAGCTATTTACCATACTTAATACCCTGGTGACTGAAAGCTGTAGAAAAGGGGCAGTTAGTCTGTCTTTTTCACTTGGATATATATTTTTCCACATAAAAAGCCAGTTAATGTGCGTTTGATTACCCCATTACATGTACTGCTGAAGGGGAAAAGCATGTAGGAACCACTGCTGTCTTGAGAAAATTTTAATTTTTTATTCAAAGGCATTTTCCTGGGGACCTTAGAGAGGAGAAGCCTGTTGTGGAGGAACAGGACAGATTATCAGCTGATAGGAGCAGCTAGAACCTGATTTTACTTGGAGGAGATGTGACAATTTGTCTCAGCTGAGGAGTGTGTGAAGGAGTAATCCCAAACAGGACTGGGAGTTCCCAGTGATTGAAGGATTGATTTAGGTTGGCGAAGCTCCTAAGGCTTGTGCTCAAGATTTCTGCCTCCCCTTTGTAGACTTGATGCCTACTCATGCGCAGTCAGTGCATTCTCTAGCATCTACTGTCACCAAAGTTGCTGGACTACACCAGTTTACAGCAGCTCAGAGTCTAGATTCATGAGTGACATGGTCCCTAAATTGGGTTGGATCAGTAGCTCGTTATGTTCACTGCAAAAAGCTGGGCTGTTATTTTCATGCCTGATTCCTTCTGTCTCCTCCTCCTGATGAAATTGTGCTGTTAAGACATTTCCTCTTGAAATTTTGCAGGACACAGAGAGGTTTCAGTCCTACAGTCAAGAGCTGGAGTGCAAGCTCCTGTCAAAAGAACAAGAACTGGAACAATTGGCTCAGAAACAGAAAAAGGTACTAACTGATATCCTTCAGAGTTAAACAGATGTTTTTTATTTGTTCACATGATTTCTTTAGGGGCTACTTTAGGTCCCAAAAATGCAACTTGCTGTGGTGTGGTTATGCCGAACCGTGGCCCTATGTTGCTTTTGTGTCGTGAGTGTAGATACCTGAATGGCTTGGAAAGAGAGGGGGCAATGGCTTTGAACTGAAAGAGGGGAGATTTCAATTAGATATAGAGAAGAAATTCTTCTCTGAGGGTGGTGAAGCACTGGCACAGGTTGCCCAGAGAAGCTGTGGCTGCCCCATCCCTGGAAGTGTTCCAGGCCAGGTTGGATGGGGCTTTGGGCAACCTGGTGTAGTGGAGGGTGTCCCTGCCCATGGCAGGGGGGTTGGAGCTGGATGATCTTTGAGGTCCCTTCGGACCCAAACCATTCTGTGATGCTATGATTCTATAAGTTATGACTGCTAGATTTCTATGCATGTGCTTCAGAAAAATGTTGCCCTCTATTTCTAAAGCAGTTTTCCTTTTATATGATGAAATGACAAAAACGCTCCAGGTATTCCCCCCAGGTACCGGGTTAATTTTGTGGAAACGTAGCGTAATTCCACTGCCTTCAGTGTGCTAGGAACTGGCTTAACACCCAGGCAGCTCAAAAGCAGAGAATCTGGCTCTTGCAGTGTACACCTTGCTCAGAGCTTGTGCCAACGACTCGTTTACTTGCTTTGGATGATCCAGCTCCCTCCTGAAGGACCTGTTGCTGTGACACAGCATCTCTCTGTGGTCACAGTTTTGTAGCCATGTGTGGTTCTCGTGCTTGTCGAGTTCCCATGGTAAAGCCTGATGTGTTTTGCTTCTGAACAGTAGAAGTAAACACTCTGCTGGTTGGAGAAGCAGAGTATTTCTGCATGTGTCAACGTGGAGGCTGTGAAGTGTCTCCAAGGCCAGTGAGTGAGAGACTAGCAATAGGGAAAGGGGTAGCACTGGAATTGAAAGGGCTGAAATGGAGTGCTGTGAAACCAGCTCCCTCTGTAGAATATGGATAAAAAATACATGTAAAACTTCTTTTCCTGGCAGCAGTGCTTGGGAGTGCCAGTCTTTGGAAGTAGGAGAGAAGTAAGAGAGGAAGGGAAGGAAGAGGACCAAGAAGTTTGAGGGCAGGTCCCTAGTTGGGTGCTGGTGAAGATGGTGGGAATTGTAGGGTTGTACTTGAGCACGACAGAAGACAAACCTCTAGCTTACTACAATTATGCAAGTTTACCTGATGAGGATGTAGGACTGAACTAAAAGGCCAGCACAGAATTGAAATCAGCTGCCTGATGTTGATTCCCTTGGTTCATCCCCTGTGAGTCAGACCAGATGTGGGTTGATGCAGGCTGTTTGCCATGTTGCAGCACTACAGTGGAATAATCCACGCTTTGAAAATATCTGTGGGGACACACAAATCAGGCGTTTTTAGCCTGAAGCTAACTGCCAAGTGTAAGAAATTATTCATCTTAATTTTGTAATGATTATATTTTCATATTCTCCCCTTTTTATTTTTTTTCTTTAAAGCTATGCTTAAAACTTAGTTATCAGCCAGTAGTTCTGTAAAACTCTCTTCTTGTTCTCTAAAATAGATGTGTTCTGGATTTGATTTTAAATTTTAAGCCTGGTATAATCAAGTAATACAGGCAGCAGCATAAGGAAGTTTTATCTTTTAATTATTGTCTATATTGCCTATTGTCTACTATTGCCTATCTTGGAAAACATGGAACAATGTGTGATTTTTATTAGTATTGTTTTTATCTGATTTTGTGTTTTCCTTTTCTATCAATTGCATTGTTTATTATTGATAGTATTACTGTGTTTTCTATTTTATTTGTAATTTCTGTTATTTGTAACTTCCCTTGTGAATTTGCATAAGTCTCAACAAGGGTGTTTCTGAAGGACAGGATCTTCACAGTACCATAAAAACTAAACTATGTCTCATTTTATTTTTGTTGAAAGGAAGCTGTGTTGGACAAATGGAATTCACTCCTTCTAATGATGTGATAAGTGAGATAATTTTATTGAAATGATTGATGTCTTTTGAAACTTCTGACCTTCAGCCAGCTGATTGGTACCCATTGTCAGTCTCATACACAATATTAGACTTTTATTTCTGATACAGCAGCCTAGCCTATTTGAATGCTTAACTCAGTGTACTTAGAGACAGTGTTTTGTACATATATTTTTCTAATTCCTAGTGACCATCTCTGAGAGTGACTGTCATCATTCCTCAGATCTGTTTTCGTAATACCATAACCCCACTCATTTTCTGGTGTTACTCTTCATTCACCTGGATATCCATGTGTCCCAGGTTAGCTTCCACCCATGTAATGTTTGCCATGTCCAGAGGCCTCTGACACTTTTGCCTCCTCCTCTTGCATGGAAATATACTGTGAAAATTAAATCTAGTCTTGTAGACAGTAATGGTAGCTCGGTTTAATTACAACTTCCATGCTTGATTATATGAGAACCTCTTGGTAGTAAACTTGATTAAGTCTTTTTTTTTTTTAATGCGATGTAATTACTCCTGTGTTGGACATTATTGTGAAAAATGTGAAAGAGAACTTCCGGACAAGATGAGCTCAGTGTTGTCTCTGCCGATTTAGGCAGATGGAGTCTCCCTTATGAGGGTCTTCTGCCTGGTGGGACTGAAATCGTGATCTGATTCCATGTTGACTGGCCTTCTGTAGGCCAAGATTCCTTTGGCTAGGAGTTCCTTTTTGCTGGCTGCCATGATCTTGAATTGTCAATGTGCTCTACATGTCTTAGATCAAGCACAAGCTGTTCTCTGTGATGCTCCTCAAGGAACGTGTGACGGCATGTCTCGGAAGGAGGCACCCGGGACAGATGATGTCCAGCACAAGGTCTAGGGCACTGAATCTTTCCCATTGCCCTGTGTCCTGTCACTCCACACCCTTGTAAAAAGCCCCTCTCCAGTTTTCTTGTAGCCCCTTCAGGTGCTGGAAGGTCTCCCCAGAGTCTCTTTCTCTTCTCCAGGCTGAACAGCCCCAGCTCTGTCAGCCTGTCTCCACAGCAGAGGTGCTCCAGCCTTTGGATCATCTTCGTGGCCTCCTCTGGACTTGTTCTGACAGCTCTGTGTCCTTCTAATGTTGAGCACTCCAGAGCTGAACGCAGTACTACAGGTTGGGTCTCACGAGAGCAGAGAGTAGGGGGGCAGAATCCCCTCCCTTGACATGGCTGTGAGCCATGAGTCTTTCCCAATCCATATTCACCTACTTGATGACCAATTTGCAGCTCCAATAAGCAGCTCAAATCTATAGGGTCTATGCCATTCTATACCAGCTGAACATCCATCTGATTGTTCCACTATATTGGGAATTGTTGAAATGAATGCTTTAAAAGCAGTAGTTGGCATCACTTAAAGAATTATATAGATGCAGGTAAAGGAAGGAGCTCTGCATTGCTGTGAAACAACTGTTCCTCTTCTTATTGTGTCCTGGGGTTTAATTATTACGAGCATCTGCTTTGGAGCATAGTTTCCACATAATTCTTTATCTCTCAAGAGTAAGCATCAGGATTTATGGCCATTATTTCTAACATCAGTACCTATGTTTGTGGGAGCTGATGGTGGCTACCATTGCAGTTACATTTCCAGGCCAGTCTCTGTCTAAGTTTTCGGATGTTAGTGTTCTCTAAGTGGGATTTCTTCCTGTAATTCATTGCTCTTAAGCTTTTTGAAAGTTCATCTTTGCAATCACTTTTTACTTCTGCTCAAGAAAGTCTTGTCTTCCAGTGCCTGAAGCATCTAGCCTTTTACTTAGAATGGATAACGTCGTTCTGTCAAGGAATAAAAGCAATACTCAGGAGCTGAAGTGATCTATCCATGTAAACCAACTTTGCTCAGCAGTCAGTTGATGCCCAGTCAGTGTTCCATATTGAACTGGGAGCCTGCTGAGGCTACAGTTCAGCAGATATGTTAAGCTGGGGCTGCTGCTGAGGTGGATGCTCCCACTTTACTCTTGTTCCTGACCTTTCCATAGTCCCAGCTAGAAGGTATTTTCTGCTTTTGTTTTGAACCTGGGCCTTAAGGTCGTATTCAGAACCGAGACTAGAACAACAGTGGTGGTGTGGAGGGTGAGCAGGCTGGCAGACCTGGGTGAGGACAGGTTTGGGTTTGGGTGAGCTCTCCCTGAGATATGTAGAATGAGAGTTCTAAACAAAATCCTCTGTTGTGTCTCAGATCTGAAGGGTTGAACTGGTATTGTTGTAATGCTCCTAGTACGTTTTACATCCCTTAAAATGCATACCAAAAATAAATAAATAAATGACTGAGTCTTTCGTATCTTCAGGTCATCAGTGCCTTCCCTAATATGAAGTGGACTAATTTTATTTAGCTTTTGCTCTGTTGTCTTTGCTCAGTTAGCAAGGTGGCAGTTGGAACTTCTTCATGTAGCAGAACCCGCTGTCATCTGCTGTTACCTGTTTCGCAGGGAAGATGTGTCCTTCCTTTGTATATGCTTTGGAGAGTGAATATAGAAGTGAATAAAAAAGCTCTAATTCGCAGTTCTTGGCAGATTTAGCTGAGGTGGCAGCAAGGTTACTGCTTGTTGGTATTACTGGAGATGACAAGGTTTGTCAGCTACCAGATTTAAATCTAAGACTTTTTAGGCAGAACTCTGCACCGCTCTGTGTAGGCCTTGTGGAAATGGTCCAAAATAGCAGTTGTGAATATCAGCTATGTACTGCTAATCTGCTCTGCAAACAGCTTTTTCGTGGTTCATCCTGGTGCATTTTTGAACTGGATGAAATTCAGTTGTAGAGTGGAATGGCTTTGGTTTTGTGTCGTGTGATTACGTCTGTGCACGGAGCAGTGGAAGAGCATCAGATGTGTTTTAGCCATATGTTGGCTTTCATAGAATAGCTTCCCTTTGCAACTAACCTCCAAGACTTGAAAGCTTCAAAACGGAGATGCCTCCAATAGTTATTACATTTTCTGTTCTTTTTTCTTCCATCCCAGTTAGAGCAGCAATGCACAGAACTTCTCAGTGGCAAAGAAGAAACCAAAGTAGAGAACACCAAGCTGAAGCTAACTAACCAGGAGCTGCTGAGAGACCTGGAGAGAACATCTCAAGAGCTAAGCCTGGCTCAACAACAGTTGCAGGTGCTCCAGGAGGAGGCATCAAGACTACATGAGGAGAAGGAAATGTAAGTCTCCAGCTGCAGTGGTTCTAGTCCATTTGCTTAGCATGCCAGTGAGCCTCCTTCTCAGGGTGTTCTGTGCTGTGCTTGAAGTTTGGGTCATAAGCAGAAACCACCAGCCAAGCCACGTGCTGTTCTAGTTATTTTTCCACATGTAATTCAGCATGGTTTCTGTAGCATACCTGGCTTCTACAGAAACTTTTGCCACTTCTTCAAAATGTTAGTCTTTTCCCACCTCCCATTTGTTGAGGATGTTTGGAATTAAAAAGCAGTTTAATTAGTTAAAAACTATATCTTAGTTTTGAAGTACCAATAGGATTCCTTACAGAAATTATATTTGTGGCACATGATGCTCCATTCTCCTGAAAGCTAAATCTATCGGAAACTTGCTTCTCAGAATGTACTCTGGCTGTGAGATGGCTGGGATACGCTGCTTTTCTTCATCAAAAGCAAGTCTAGTACCTCGTTTTTGACCAAGGAACCTGGCCAGTGAGATAAAATGTAGCTTATGCAGCTAAATCACAACTCATACAAAGCCTTGTGGTGATCCAGAAACATCATTTTTGAGATTTCCAGTTCAAATGCTTTGGATTTCAGATTGACTGTATTAAAAAATATTTTTCAAGATGAAATATTTACAGTTCATATCTTGAGGGATAAAAGGGGCTTTTCAGTGACAGATTAGTCTACCTGGCTTGCTCCAGCCTTCTGCAGCAAGCCAAAGTTACATTACCCTGAAGCTGTAATTGGCAGAAATGTTCACTGAAGCCCATGTAATGGAAGATAGTTTTAAAAAAATGCTGAGGGTTCTGTACAACCCTCTTATTGCTAATGGAGAGCACTTTGGCAGAGCCCTCCTCAGAGCTGTGACTATTTGGCATATATCAGGATAGAGCAGAACATTAGATCAAGTTTAATATTCTTTTTCTGTTAAGCTTTGTGCCAAACTCGACTTAGTTATTATAGTTCAATTTTTCTTGAGGGTATAAATCATGAACTTTGATTGTTAAAGAAGAGCCACTGCCTTTAGAACTCTAGTTTTAGTTTTTGCATGTTTGTGTGTTTGGAAGTAGATAGTAGAAATACTCCTCCTCAAGGTGGTTTGTTTCCTCTTTGAGGCTTCTCTTTTCAGATCCAGAGCAAAGCCTGTGGAGTGATCTGATTTTAAAGCTACAGAGGAAACCTGCCCAGTGCTCAGACTGCTGAAAAATAATACTGCATTTACAAAGCACTTTGGATTCAATAGTGTTTTATGGAATTAGAGCTCAGCCCTGCTCAACTGCACCTGCAGTGTTGCTTTAAACATCTGCATCAGTCGGGTAAGACCTGAGCTGTTGAAGCAGGTGTGATGTTCAGACTGTGCACAGGAGGAACTTGAGGCTTCACTGAAAGGCAAAAAACACTTAAGGCCAGACACTGAGTTGCATTAAGTCCAAGTAAATGGTGTAAATGGAGTGTAAAAATTGGAGATTCTGTGTCCAGTGTTTAAGACTGCATAATGGTTAAAGGTAGGAACTGAAAAGAAGTTGAAGGGAATGTAGATGTGTGAGCCTGACATGAAGTTCCAGCAGCAAGAGAAACTCTAATTTCGGATAAAATGTTACATGGTCTTTAGTGGCCGTGAAGGAGCAATGGTTAAAGGTAGGAACTGAAAAGAAGTTGTAGGGAATGTAGATGTGTGAGCCTGACATGTAGTTCCAGCAGCAAGAGAAACTCTAATTCTGGAGAAAATGTTACGTGGTCTTCAGTGGCCGTGAATGAGAAGGATTTCAGCAGTATGTCTTCTCTGAATGATGTAAGTGCCATGTGTCAGCACATATTAAGCTCTCTGGATGAAGAAGTTATAAAGCTATAATTTTGTTAGAAGCCCTCTCCTCTTTCCTCTGCTAACTCCAACTGCTGTGGCACTGTGGGCCTTACACTGAATAAACTTTTTTAAAATCAGTAACTGTTCACTTAGAATAAAGCCTATGCGTTGGGAGAAGCTGACATCTCAAATGCAGATGCTCCTAGGGGGAATCATAGAATCGTTAGGGCTGGAAGGGACCTTCAAAGGTCATCTAGTCCAACCCCCCTGCAAGGAACAGGGATATCTCCAACTAGATGAGGTTGCTCAGGGCCTCTTAGCAGTGTTGTTACTGTGGTTAGAACAATTTTATTGATTTCTTTTCGTTACAGGGAAGTGTACCGAGTGACAGAAACCTTACAGAGAGAGAAGTCAGGGCTTCTGAAGCAGCTGGATTTTTTAAGGTAACCCTATGATCAAGAACTTCTTGAATCATTCTAAAAAGGTACACTAAAGGGTAAAATCATGTTGGGATATATACTGGGTGTAGATGTCCAGATGTTGGCAGCAGAGGTGGCCTCTGCGAGAGAGGAGAGGCTGAGGCTGCCCCTTGCCAGGCACAGCTGGATCCTGCTGGCTCCAATGGATCTACTGCAGGGCACAGCTGAGTTGGTGGCACCTTTGGGTGTAAGAAAGGGTGGAAAACACTGTGCAGTGTTTGAGAGAGAGGAGTAGGCAGAAGCTGTGTGAGGAACAGCCCTGCAGACACCAAGGTGTCTGCTCCAGCCCACGGAGAGGAGCCCACGCAGGAGCAGGTTCTCCAGCAGGTCCCATGGGGGACCCACACTGGAGCAGTCTGTTCCTGAAGGGCTGTGCCACATGGAAAGGATCCACACTGGAGCAGTTTGTGAAGGACTGCAACCTGTAGAAGAGAACCCATACTGCACCACTCAGGGTTGGGAAGGAGGCAGAAGGGTTGAGAGTGCAGGAGTGGAGTTGAACCTGGGGAAAAAGTGGTGGGGAGAAGGTGATTTTAGTTTTGTCTCTGTTTCTCATTGTCCTACAGCTGAGTCTATTTTGTCTGTGATAGTAGTTGGTAAGCAATCTTCCTGTCTTTATCTTAACCCGTAAACTTTTCTTCCACTGTTCTGTTGAGGAGGGGGACTGAGAGAAGAGCTGAGTGCACATCTGGCAGCCAGCTAAGGTCAAGCCACCACAGGATAATGACTCAAAGATAGCAAAGTTGGTTACAACAGATAGTATGCCTTTGCAAGCCCTCTTCTGGCACACAGTAGAAGGTAGTACACATGACAGATTGCCTTTGTTTTGGCAATTTGGTATTGTAGGACAATCTCCTTTGCAAAAGTCAAATATAAAACAAAACAATGGTGAACTGTTCTAGGCTGGTTCTGTGGCAGCAGCCTGGCCACAGGAGACTTGAAGCTTACTAAAAGGCTCTGTTGTTTCTGAAGTGATGGGAGTACAGCCAAAATGAAGATTCTTTCCCCAAAATCATAGAATCAT